GAGAATGTCGACCCCCACACAGTGACGAATGAAGACTTGACTGCGTCGATAGACGCGTTGACCAAGAGGCTGAGTGACATGCCTGGATGGTCGGGCAACTTGCTTGACCCGGCAAAGTCTGCTGAACTGGTTGCGGCAAGATGGGGCGGGAAGGCGAGCTATGACAAGCCTGAAGCTCCTCTTACTGAGGCCGGGATGAAGAGTGCGACTCCGGAGGATCGAGCTTATGCCCTATCACAGCTAAATGAGATGGTGAATTTCCACAAGAAGCACCTATGCTCTGGGCGAGGAGCGCCTATGGTTAGCGCGGCTGCTCCCAGCGGGCCGTTTGCGCCCGATCAGGTTGATGCGAGCAGGAAGTTCCGTCCAAGCGAAGCGGCAAGCAAGATGACATACAACCTCGTGATCATGGACGGAAAGAAGGACTATCTCGCCGATAGGCAGGAGGTCAGTCCGAATCTGCGGGCTACCGGGGTTGTGCCTGATGAGGCTATCACTTGCCAGATCGTGGTCCCTGCGAAGACAAGGTTGAGCGAGTACGTTTCGAACTACGAGGAGACCGCGACCACCGTCGCAGGACGGGAGGCGGCTCAAGAGTTGATGAAGCTGCTCTCGTGCGACTTTGAAGGCTTGGTCATCAACTCGAAAAGAGTCTCGGAGTTATTCGAGGAAAAGGTGCTGAAGGAAGCTGGACGAGAGGCTGGAAACTGGGTGAGCAGTGACCAGGCCATCTGGGTTCCTGAAGGAGGTCACGGGCATGGAGAACGCCGAGATGTCGTGGCAGTTCTTTATTCCGACGATCAAAGCTTTCCCGATAGGGCAAGTTGAGACAATGCTCATGATCATGTATGATGGAGATGGTGTCCTCCTCAGGGAGTGCACTAGGTTAGTGGCCGTTAGGTACACGCGAATCGGACGAGACATGAGTTTCAGTGCCGTTAGGCAAAGATATACTCAAGAGGATGTATTTGGCGGGTCTCTGATGTACGAGATGCACTGGGATGAGCTCCCTATGGTGGGGTATGTCATTATGAAGTTCTCGGACTTCAGGAAGGCAGTCCAGCTCCAAAAGGTGAGGCGGAACGGAAAAGCCTTGATCGAGATATTGATCACGAGGCCCGATATGTACGAGACCATTGGGGATGGAAGGTTGGATGAAGGCCTGGTTCCAATTGTGGAAACTATGACGCCGAACGCCGAGGTGTCGCCATCGTGGTACGTCAGGGACAGGCTGCGGAACTACTCAGGTAGGTACGTGGTGGTCATAGTGGACCTTCGGGTACATTGGTCGTTGGTTGGACCTGTGTTTCTGACGAGGAGAAAGACCCTTGCGGTTCGGAACGAAATCCACATGGGTGCGTGGAAGGCTGCGTACATGTTCGATGATTACACGATAGTGTATCATCGGGCTTGGGACTATGGTGACCTCACTCCCGATAGGGGGGAGCACAAGCGATCGCGTGAGGAAGTCAGGTTGAACGTGACCACCACCTTCTGTTTGAGATGCGCGGAGATGACGCCGAATGGGATGCATTTGTGCCCCGGGTGTGCGCTCCCGGTGTTCTACCCAAACTTCATTCCCAACGCGGACGAAGATGACTTCGAGAGGTGCGGCATCATCCCGGACTGGGTGAAGAGTATGAGGCAGTTCAAGCCCAAGAGGATCCCGACCGAAGTGGTCGGAGTTATCAAGAGGAATTTGATTTCCTATTCGATGGCGTCTGACCTGAGGATGACGGTGCAGAGCGGCATAAGGCTGCCCCCTTATCTTGGTGAGGACAAGGGAGGAGTCGATGCGGCGTGGGATGAACTGGCGAAGGTGCTCTTTCAGTTCTCCTATGTGTCGGGGATTTCGGCCTCGGATGCGTTCGTGGAGAAGTGGGTGGCGAAGCACCTCATCAAGACCAATCAAGTCGATAGATTTGATTCGGTCACTGAGTATTTCCGAGCAAAACCGACACATGCGGCTCAGTGGGGTAGACGTATGACGACTTCCGTTAGGAAGTTCGCCCGTCATGACACGTACTTGTCCTTCTATATCCCGATGGCGTACGTGATTGGTGCAGCGGCGGGTCATCTGACTCCCTTGTATCCGACCCACCGGAAGGACGTGGACATCTTGGCCAGTCATGCATTGATCGCAGACCTCAGGAGGTACTTGGTCTTGGCGACAGGATACGATGAGAAGAGGAGATTGAGGGAGGCGGTAGCCAAGGTGCAGAAGGCGATCAACGCTGGGCAATCAGAGCCTCCTGCCCCCTTCCGTGACCCTGTTAATGACAAGAGGGTGAGGACGAACCAGAGCCATTGGAGGTGAACGTTGAAGGGCTCCAGTCGGTGCATCATGGTGCAGGGTCCTGGTCCCAAGCAGGAGCCGGTCGTCAAGGGCGGAAAAGGGAAAGGGAAGAAAGGAGAGAAGGGCGGTAAGGGCGGTAGTCCTTCCGGCCCACCACCAAAGTCAGGAGAAGGGATCTGGTAAGGGCGATAGTCCTTCTGCCCCACAAGCAAAAGCAAAGGCTGATTCTGGGCCGGCTCCGATGGAGGTTGATGCAACTGCGGCTCAACCAAAGAAGACTTGGGTCGCGATAGCGGTCGAAGGAGCCCGGCCGAGTGCAAAGGCTAAGATGGCTCCGGTCCCAAAGGCCGAACCAAAGGGAAAGGCAGCTTCGGCTTCTGAGACGAAGAATGCTTCAGCCCGGAAAGGCTGATGTTAAGGAGACGAAGCAGACCGAACCGAAGGTTGAAGTCAAGAAGGAGAAGATAGGCAGAGACGACGCTCCTGGCGATAGTCGGGGCTCGGCTGAAGGGCAGAAGAGAGAAAGGAAGTCCCGTTGGGATCCCGATGAGACTGTGAAGGAGTCGACGAAGCGGGAGGCATCGACGAGGCCTGATGACGTTGACAGCAGACCAGGTGCGGCAGCGAGAGAGGCTAGCGGGGATGATCTTCACTCTGCGATTGGTAGGTCTTCGGCGAAGGACGCGGTAGCGCCCCTGACGGCCTCCAAGGCAATGGCAAAGAAGCCTGAAGGCGGTGAGATCAGGTTGCAGTCGGCTGAGCGAGCTGCGGCGAGCTCGGAGGGTCACTTCCTGGTGCTGCCTGAGAGTTTGGTGGTGGACGCTCCTGTCGGTTTCCACCAACAGAGTGCTGAACAAGCAAGTCAGGGATTTCATCAGAAATGGTGAAGACGCGTCGGCACTGGAGGCTCTCAATCAGATCGTGACGAACTCTCGCTCTGGGAGGAGGCGTAGGGAATCGGACGTTTCCCGCACTCCTTCTCGGAGGTCTGTTAGGACCGTGGACACTAGGGATTCCAGAGAGTCGAGAAGGCGCAGATACCGCGGGCGGCCGTCGTGTGATGATTCACTCGATCGGGAGCGAGAACGAAGGCGAGATGATCGCAGGAGATCCGAGAGGGATCGAGATAGGGACCGTGCGCGGGGCGGACGTGACCGGAGGAGACGTGAGATAGGCTTAGTCACGAGGATTGCGGCCGATTGGCTTGCGTCCATTCTCCGATGGTTGGCGCGGTGCGGAGATGGTGATGTTCCTCCCGAACCGCTGAGGCGCGGAGATCATGTCTCTCCCGTACCGCTGCTCGGCTGCTGGTCTTGCTCATCATGAAGTAGTGTGAGTGAGAGGGGAAGCAAACTGGTGGAGGGTACTCCCAGGTTTGCGGAATTCAAGCATTTTTCAGGTACGCATGGTCAGTGGTACTTCTTGCCGATAGGCGAGGGTACTGATGAACATACGGTATCCTTTGTTTCATGGCTTCTGATAAGAATTGAACTTCTTGCATTGTTGATGCAAACAGTTGTGGCCTAGTGCCGTCATGTGGACTCTTCCACGAGGTATGTTGGACAGCGTTACCCCGATTAATTCGGGGCGGTGGCGGGAATTTAATGCCCGGGATGTCGCGCAACTGCCTTTGTGGGTTTGCTTCACCGCTGACGGCGGTAGTGTCCAGCTGTTTGCGGACGCATGCGAGCAGTTAAATCCTATCAGTATATGGCACGCTCCACCCGTCATATGACGGGCTCCTCGTGAGGGGGGTGTGATTAGCCATGATTCATTTCATCATCAGGGATGTCGCGGTAGTGACTGACCTGTGATGTTTGGCTCAAGTTTACGGGTTCCGTCGCGCCTCGAATGGGCGTCGCCGAACCCCTGCGTCGACCGACGGCATCTCGGGGGAGAAAGAGACCTCGGGCCGCCGCCAGGTTGGTAGGGACCAGTCGTGCGGCCTGTTGTCGACCAAGGTTGCGGGTTAACCCTTTTCTTGTTTGGTTTGTTTCCTTTTGGTTGTTGTTCTCTGGTGTGTGGGAAACCCTGATCTTTGGGACCGGGGATTGGTTTGCTTTTGGGGAACCTTTCTTTTGTGGCTTGTTTACCCCAACTTACCCATTGCCTGGGCACAGGCTCGTGCCCGAATCACACATTGTGTCCCATCCGTTTCTGTTTTGAATCAGTGCCAAAACGACGGCCCTCAACAAAAGGATGCCCATATGCTTTGTTGGGGGAATTAACGGACCAAAGCCACTTCCCTGCAAGCAGGCAACTGTGGATGGCACAGGGTCGTTCCCACATTTTCTGACCCTACTTACCAGTGCAAATCTGAAGCCCTAAGGGGACCTGGCTGCCTTTGAGTCTGGCAGATAGAGCAATCTTGCACCCAAGCTGATGGTGGTCAAACTTGTTACTGGTTCCTTGGCTCACCTGGCTGTGTCAGCTTGGAGCTCTCACAAGCCGAAGGTAAGTAACTGGATTGTTAGTCAGCCCCGGCACCACAAAATACTCAACTGCAACTTGCAGTCACACTCACATCTAGTTGCAGCAAGCCAGCAGATCATCACCACCACCCCCACCCCCACCACCACCACCACCACCACCACCACCACCACCACCACCACTCATCAATGGCGGCTGGCCAATGGTCCTTTTCTATGACCTTCGGCCGAGACCTTCAGCCCACGGCCCCTTCGCCCAGCCCGCGGCCCGCCAGGTGCGGCTGGTCTTCGCGCTCTTCGGGGGCGTGGGCACGGTGCGCTTCGTCGCGGAGTCCGGGAAGCGCATGGCCTACGTGAAGCTGAAGAACCGCGAGAACATGCCCAAGGCGGAGACGGACAGGGCACACGGACGAATCTTAAAGAAAACTAGAGCTAAATTGAAAAAACCATGTCTAGTTTGTTGAACTGGTATTTTTGTCGTCAGTTCGGACCCGTCTGATGCGAGCGGAGAACTCGGTTTTGGACCGATGAGCCTCTCCACTTTGCCATGGAACCCACCGGAACTCGTCTTCCGGAAACGGATGCCTCAGTGAGATTCCATATGTTCACGGACAGGAGGGTACCTGGTTCGAAGAATGCTTGGACCCAAAGGTGTCGGTTGCCAGGCGCGCCAACCTTGTTGCAACACAGGTGTTTTAATAGACCCTGCGAGGGTTTGGCCGATGGAAGTGGAGCGGCTTCCTGAAACAAAGTCTTCTAAAACCTTCGGATTGTCAGCTTTGATTGGAGGGAAAGTACTTCATTTGGAGTATTTGGAATTTGTGCACAGAACTGTTAGCAAACTTTAGAGCCTCCGGCTCAGTCCGCCGACATTGTCCTCTCCCTTTTCTCCTTCTTCCTCTCCCTTGTCTCCCTGGTGTGTTCTGTCGTCCTCTCTCCCTCCCTCTGCTCCCCAACCTCCCCATCCCCCCAAGCCCCTCTCTCCCCAATCTCCCTCTCTCGTATGTATGTATGTATGTCTGTGTGTATGCATGTATATATGTATGTACTGTATGTACGTATGTATGTATGCATGTATGCATGTATGCATGTATGCATGCATGCATGCATGTATGTATGTAATGCATGTATGCATGTATGTAATGTAATGTAATGCAATGCAATGTAATGTAATGTAATGTAATGTATGTATGTAATGTATGTATGCATGCATGTATGTATGTATGTATGCATGCATGTATGTATGTATGTATGAATGTATGTATGTATGTATGTATGTATGTATGTATGTATGTACATATGTATGTATGTAATGTAATGTACTGCAATGTAATGTAAACTAATATAATGTAATATAATGTAATGTTGTGTAATGTAATGTACTGTAATGTAATGTAATGTAATGTAATGTAATGTAATGTAATGTAATGTAATGTAATGTAATGTAATGTAATGTATGTATGAATGTATGTATGTATGTCTGTATGTATGTATGTATGTACATATGTATGTATGTAATGTAATGTAATGTACTGTAATGTAATGTAATGTAAGCTAATATAATGTAATATAATGTAATGTTGTGTAATGTAATGTAATGTATGTCTGTCTGTCTGTCTGTATGTATGTATGTATGTATCCTTGCACTTCCCCTTTGCTCCCCAGTATTTCCCGCAAACAACACGGTTTTTCCAGCGTTTTCGCAAAGAGGATGTCCAAAAACACAGAGTTTTGCCAGATTTTCGGCAAAAGGATGCAGGAAGCCCAAGCCAGCAAAAAAGCCGGCAGGGGGAATCGAGCCTGGGACCCCTGTTTTGCGACACCGGCTCCCCGAAGACTACGTTTAGTGGAACGTCATCAACTTGCCGCGCAGTCCTTGGGGGGGGGGGGGGGCCCCCCCCCCACGTATCAGACGTCGGGTCGGGGGGGGGTTAGGGGGGGGGGTTATCCTCTATCCTCTCTTAGGTGTCCGACACGCCGAGCAATGTCGGCGGACATTGCTTGCACCAAAAGAATGGTCGACCCAATTGGTATGAAGAAAACCACTCACGGTAGAGACTGAACCCACCCACCCACAGCCACAGGTTTCTCGTTTTGTTTCGCGAGGACCTCGCGCGCGCAGGGATTGTCTCACTACGATGCTTTCTTCCGCGTGTCAGGCAGCCCGCTATATCGATCTGTCAGTCCGTGCCTCTTTATGTTACCACCAATTTCGAGCACCCGCCCGCAATGGAGCCCATGATGCCCATGGAAAGACAACTGTCCTGCATCGCAGTCTCTGACTCCGGCCGCCATCTTGCGGCCGGAATCGACATGCTGTTAACATTGACCGGCCTGGTGGAGTTGGCAAATGGTCTGGCGCGTCCTTGTTGCTGCGCGGGGTGTGGTCTGTAGGGCTCTTTGGGATTTCGGATTTTGTTTCAGTGAGTGTTAGCCCACCACCGACCCCTCCAATTGGGCCGCCCAAAGGAGGGATTCTATAACATTCCAAGGCTTGGACACGGGTATGGGGCAACATGAAACCACCAGGTCTGGCGGCCGCCGCCGCCGCCGCCGCCAGCGAGAGGAGGATTCCTTTGTCCTGGGGCGTTTTATAAGGTGTTGCGGATCTCCTCCAACATGATTGAGTGCGTATGGGTTCGCCCAGTATGAAATTGAAGTTGAACATATATAGTTTCGGTGGCCAGAACCCTGAAACTCAGAAACTGGACCAAGATGCCCGCTAAGTCTGGTGTGTGTGTGTTCCTTCACTGTCGCAGGAACGCGTTTGTGTTTGTTAGGTTTACTGGTTCTGTTCATTTTTAGTACGGGGCTGCAGCACAAGAACGGTTTCCTTCCATACTTGTTTGAATCGAGGTTAGGTACAAGGGGGGTGGGTAGTTGAGAGCCCTAGGGTTCTTTTGGATTTTTTTTTCAGTGAGTGTTAGCCCACCACTGACCTCTCAAATTGGGCCCCAAGGAGGGATTCTATAACATTCGAAGGCTTGGACACGGGTGTGGGGCAAAATGAAACCACCAGGTCTGGCGGCCGCCGCCGCTGCCGCCGCCAGCGAGATGAGGATTCCCATGTCCTGGGGCGGTTTATAAGGTTTTGCGGGTCTCCTCCAAGGTGATTGAATGTTTATGGATTCCTGCAGCATGAAGCCGAATCTGAAAGGACATTTTTCCGCGCCTAAACCCAGAAGCTGGACCAAGATGCCCACTAAGTTTGGTGTGTGTTCCTTCACTGTAGTTGGAACGTGTTTGTGTGTTTAGGTTTCCTGGTTCTGTTCAGTGCTAGGACGGGGCTGCAGCTAAAAAAAGGGTTTGCTTCCATACTTATTGAATCCGCAAGGGGAGGTTAGGTACAAGGGGGGTGGGTAGTTGAGAGTTTCAGGGTTGTTTGGGATTTCTGAGAGTTCTCAGTGAGTGCTAGCCCACCACTGACCCCTCAAATTCGGCCCGAAGGAGGGATTCCATAAGAGTCCAAGGCTTGGACACGGGTATGGGGCAAAATGAAACCACCAGGTCTGGCGGCCGCCGCCGCCACCGCCGCCAGCGAGATGAGGATTCCTATGTCCTGGGGTGTTTGATAAGGTGTTGCGGGTCTCCTCCAACATGATTGAGTGCGTATGGGTTTGCCCAGTCTGAAATTGAAGTTGAACATATATAGTTTCGGTGGCCAGAACCCTGAAACTCAGAAACTGGACCAAGATGCCCACTAAGTCTGGTGTGTGTGTGTGTTCCTTCACTGTCGCAGGAACGCGTTTGTGTTTGTTAGGTTTACTGGTTCTGTTCATTTTTAGTACGGGGCTGCAGCACAAGAACGGTTTCCTTCCATACTTGTTTGAATCCCCAAGGGGAGGTTAGGTACAAGGGGTGTGGGTAGTTGAGAGCCCTAGGGTTCTTTGGGATTTTTTTTATTTTTTTCAGTGAGTGTTAGCCCACCACTGACCTCTCAAATTGGGCCCCAAGGAGGGATTCTATAACATTCGAAGGCTTGGACACGGGTGTGGGGCAAAATGAAACCACCAGGTTCGCCCAGTATGAAACCGAGTCTGAAAATACAGTTTCCTGCAACTAAAACCTCTAAACCCAGAAGCTGGACCAAGATGCCCACTAAATCTGGAGTGTGTTCCTTCACTGTGGCTGGAACGCGGTTGTGTTTTTAGGGTTTTTGGCTTTGTTCATTTGAGCACGGGGCTGCAGCACAAAAAAAGGTTTGCTTCCATACTTATTGAATCCCCAAGGGGAGGTTTGGTACAAGGGGGGTGGGTAGTTGAGTTTTAGGGTTCTTTGGGATTTGTGAGAGTTTCTTAGAGAGTGTTACCCCCCCACCCACCCACCCGACCCCTCAAATTCGGCCCCAAGGAGGGATTCTATAACATTCCAAGGCTTGGGCACGGCTATGGGGCAAAATGAAACCACCAGGTCTGGCCGCCGCCGCTGCCGCCGCCAGCGAGATGAGGATTCCCATGTCCTGGGGCGGTTTATAAGGTTTTGCGGGTCTCCTCCAAGGTGATTGAATGTTTATGGACTCCTGCAGCATGAAGCCGAATCTGAAAGGACATTTTTCCGCGCCTAAACCCAGAACCTGGACCAAGATGCCCACCAAGTTTGGTGTGTGTTCCTTCACTGTAGTTGGAACGTGTTTGTGTGTTTAGGTTTCCTGGTTCTGTTCAGTGCTAGGACGGGGCTGCAGCTAAAAAAACGGTTTGCTTCCATACTTATTGAATCCCCAAGGGGAGGTTAGGTACAAGGGGTGTGGGTAGTTGAGAGTTTCAGGGTTGTTTGGGATTTCTGAGAGTTTCTCAGTGGTGCTAGCCCACCACTGACCCCTCAAATTCGGCCCGAAGGAGGGATTCCATAACATTCCAAGGCTTGGGCACGGGGATGGGGCAAAATGAAACCACCAGGTCTGGCGGCCGCCGCCGCCGCCGTTGTTAGTGAGATGAGGATTCCTATGTCGTGGGGTGTTTGATAAGGACCCAGAAACTGGACCAAGATGCCTACTAAGTCTGGTGTGTGTGTCTTCTTTTGCCCTCGCAGGAATGATTTGTTTTTTGTTTTTTAGGTTTATTGGATCTGTTCATTTTTAGGACGGGGCTGCAGCACAAGAACGGTTTCGTTCCATACTTGTTTGAATCCCCAAGGGGGAGGTTAGGTACACGGGGTGTGGGTAGTTGAGGGTTCTTTGGGATTTTTATTTTTGTTTTTTTCAGGGAGTGTTAGCCCACCACTGACCCCTCAAATTGGGCCCCAAGGAGGGATTCTATAACATTCCAAGGCTTGGACACGGGTGTGGGGCAAAATGAAACTACCAGGTCTGGCGGCCGCCGCCGCCGCCAGCGAGATGAGGATTCCACTGTCCTGGGGCGTTTTATAAGGTTTGGCGGGTTTCTTCCTA